TCATGTTTCCGCTGTGTTTTACGCAGGAGGGCTGGCATATAGCCTGCTGGTGGAAATCAACCACTACAGGTAGTCCTTGATTGAAAACCATTCATTTAATGAACTTTTGAAGTTACAACCACACCAAAAAGGTGACTTATGGCCGTTTTTCACACTTAATGTCCACTGCAGTACTACCCCCATGCTCACGTGATCAAAATTCTAAAGGACAGATTGGATTGGTTTACCCAAATTTCTGGACCGTGTTTTTACTACTACTCAACGTGAAGAACTTTAGGAAACTATTGGAAAACAATCTTATTCAGAGACATATTAATTGTAGTTAAATTGTTTTAATTCAGCGAGTTTTGCTCTCTTTCAAAAACCCAGCGTGCTTTGAACATCTTGTTACAGCCTTTTGTTTACAGAGTAATAGCAGCAATCAGAGCAATAAATTCCTCCCACCCAGTAAATCACAGCTGCTAGTAAAACAATTAACCCTTTCCTTGCAGACTCTCAATACTATCTCATTACTTTAATCAAACACTGATTAATTCATTACCTCAAAACTTACAACTTTTCTACCTCATCACCTATATCAATGATTAGATAACCAATTTCTATAAAATATTTCATTAATGGTTTAATTGATTTATTGTTTTAATTGATTAGTGTGATTAGAGTGTTTAGTGCAAATAGTGTGATTATTGATTAGTTTAAAAGATCAAGATTCATGTAATTTAATTGATTAGTAAAATCGGTGATTTAGTGAATTTAATTGAACAGTGTGAATAATGATTAGTGTAATTAATTGATTAGGCTGATTGTTGCTTAAGAAAATTATTTGACTAGAGAGATTACTGCAATTGATTGATTGATGTGATATTGGCTATATTGATTACCAAAAATTGTTCCATTAATTAATTTAATCAACGTACCATCTTAACAAACCTACCATGCCAAGAAAAAAATCCAATGCCAAACCACAACCTAAAGTAATCCCCACCAATGAACCATAAGACTCCTGCACATGTCTTAAATGCTACAAAACTCTAAAGGATAATGAAAACTCCATCAAATGTTCTCTATGTAACAAATACGCTCATCATGACTGCTTGGGATTACCCGAGCAAATGACTCAATACCTAGAATCATCCAATGAGTTGGGGTGGGGGTTGTGCTTACAGCCCAACACCGTTCAGGACGTTTGTCATTTGCCAGAGAACACCAAGATTGGCAAATTGGCCACTGGCGCCCTGTACTCTTCACAGATGAAAGCAGGTTCACACTGAGCACATGTGAAAGATGTGACAGGGTCTGGAGATGCCATGGAGAACATTCTGCTGCCTGCAACATCCTCCAGCATGACTGGTTTGGCAGTAGGTCAGTAATGGTGTGGGGTAGCATTTCTTTAGGGTAGCATTTCTTTAGGGTGGCATTTCTTTAGGGGGGCGCACAGCCCTCCATGTGCTCTCCAGAGGTAGCCTGACTGCCATTAGGTATCAAGATGAGATCCTCAGACCCTTTGTGAGACCATCTGCTGGTGCGGTTGGCCCTGGGTTCCTCCTAATGCACGACAATGCTAGACCTCATGTGGCTGGAGTGTGTCAGCAGTTCCAGCAAGATGAAGGCATTGATGCTATGGACTGGCCTGCCCATTCCCCAGACCTGAATCCAATTGAGCACATCTGGGATATCATGTCTTGCTCCATCCACCAAAGCCACGTTGCACCACAGACTGTCCAGGAGTTGGGGGATGCTTTAGTCCAGGTGTGGGAGGAGATCCCTCAGGAGACCACCTGCCACCTCATCAGGAGCATGCCCAGGCGTTGTAGGGAGGTCATACAGGCAAGAGGAGGCTGCACACACTACTGGGCCTCATTTTGATTTGTTTTACATCCAAGTTGGATGAGCCTGTAGTGTTTTTTTCCACTTTAATTTTGAGTGTAACTCCAAATCCAGACCTCCATGGGTTGCTAAATTTGATTTCCATTGATAATTTTTGTGTGATTTTGTTGTCAGCACATTCAACTATGTAATGAACAAAGTATTTAATAAGAATATTTCATTCATTCAGATCTAGGATGTCTTATTTTT